ATCGAGTCGATTGCACAACTTCAATCGTTGTACAGAATATAGATACAGAACGGTGAATTTAGTTTTGTAGTTTACTACAAAGCTAAGTTCACATGTTCGAACCTCTATTCGTACAAAAATTGATTTTGTGTTTTTCGATAGTTTTAGTTTAGAATACTATAATGGAATATTCTTCCACTTGTATTCTGATAGAATAAAGCTTATATCAACAACTGATTGAGCCTAAGAACAGTCGTTCATCTGTGCTAGGACTGTAACAGTTCAAGTTCTAAATTCTCATGAACTGCGCTAAAGGGCTGGGCGATCGATTCTGATCCGGAATAACTGAACCTTCTAAACACCATACCTCGAACTAATTGATCAGTTCGACGCTTCGGTTCTTTTCGAAGAGAACTGTTCAATAGTTCAGTTCGTCTGAACTGGAACTGTTCGACTAGTTCATGGGATCTGAACTGATCTGGAACCGTTACAGTCCCCTATCTATGTAGTCCTGACTACCACATCGGTTCATCCATCATCTCGGCCAGACAATAACAAGCTGGCGGTTGTGTTCATCCAAATGAACATTCAATCGTTACTTTGTCGGTTTCCGATGAGTTGTTCAACTATCTCCAGTGGAAACAGTTGATTTAAATCATCCGAAGAAAATGTAAGCTACTAAAATAATCTAAAAGTATTCTAATTATTATAGGTATCCAATTTTCCTGTTTGATCTATGTCACTTGTAGATATATCTCACATTGATCAACTACTAGAACTTCTTTTACGAACTCAATTGTTCAATATTCTTGACTATGCCCGAATGCTGTCTTACTTGTTGTTGTTGTTGTGGCGGATGTGGATGTTGTTGTTGTAGTTGCTGTAGTTATAGTTGTTGTCGTTCCTGTTGTTGTAGTTGCTGTGGTTATAGATGTTGTCATTGCTGTTGTTGTTATTGTCCCTTTAAATTTTATGATCAAGGAAACAGCCACTGCACCAATGGCCAGGCCAATAACAGGAAGAGCAAGTAGAAGCAGCAGTAAACAGATAGGTGAACATCGCCGACAAATATGATTAAAATAGCTAAGTTGAAGATTTTCATAGTGTAATTAAAAAAATGCAAATCAATTACGTACTGTTTCTTTTTTTTTCTATTCAACTTTTGATCATGCGTATTCTTAAAAGCTATTCTATGTAACCATGAATCAGTTGCCTGCATTAATTTAAATGATGAATATAGACAAAAGGAAAAGAATACATAGTCTCTATTTGGCTTCAGTTTTATCATCCAATCGAGTCAAATTATGTGGAGCGATATTTTACTGTAAATATGACTCATTCAGACAAAAATAATTTTTATACGTACAGGGTGGCCCAAAAGTAAGGAAACAGATGTTTTGTTTAGATTTCTTTTCTATACTCTGATAGTTCGGTCTCATATTTATACTACATAGTAGTGCACAAAGAAGCAACATATAATCGAGCCCAGGCAGCTGTGATAATGGAAAAACGATATTATGATACCGGTTGAAAAACATAAAAGGTTACGGTCACACAATAATGTCTTAAAAAGATTTTTATTTAAATCTTACAAATGATTACTACACGTACGTAAAAACGCATTTGATACAATAATTTCCTTTGTTCGGAATAAACCAGTTTAAGATATTATTGGGTGACCATGATGCATCGTTATTTTTATTTTTTTAACCATTTATAACAATACCGTTTTTACAATTATCACGA